CTGAACGGTATTGGGAATGAAGTGGGCGGGCATCGGGAGGCCACTATGGCACGGGGCAAGCACTATGGGCAGTCTCTCTGAAGTGTACCTGGCGTATAAGACGACCCCCGACTTGGAGGCATATTTTTCAGGGCCAAAAAATCGTCTTATACGCCGGCAAATACGGTATATGAACGGAAGTGTTGGTGGTTGTAATCATTGAATTGTGCCCCCCCCCCAAAAAACCAGATATGTTAAAATTCTAACTCAAATACCACAGCATGTGACCTTATTTGAAAACAGGGTCTTCACACAATCAATTTAAAATGAGGTCATTTGGGTGGGTCCTAACTCAGAATGACTGGAGTACTTATTAAACAGGGAAATTTGAGCACAGAGACAGACATGTACAGAGGGAAGATGCTGTGAAGACACAATGGGAGAAGATAGTCATGTGACTGGAGTGATAAGCCTAGGAATGCCAAGGATCTCCAAGGATTGCCAGCAAACACCAGAAGCTAGAAGCGGCAAGGGCTCTCCCCTAGAACCACCAGAGAGAGCATGGCACTGCCAACACCTTGAGCATGGACTTCTAGCTTCCAGAACTGTGAGACAATAAATATCTATTTTTTTTAAATATATTTTATTGATTTTTTACAGAGAGAAAGGGAGAGAGATAGAGAGTTAGAAACATCGATGAGAGAGAAACATCGATCAGCTGCCTCCTGCACATCCACGGCCGGAGATGTGCGCGCAACCCAGGTACATGCCCCTGACCGGAATCAAACCCGGGACCCTTCAGTCCGCAGGCCGACGCTCTATCCACTGAGCCAAACCGGTTTCGGCAATAAATATCTATTTTAAGCCACCCAGATTTTGGTACTTTTTCACAGGAGCCCTAGGAAATTAACACAGGTGGAATTTGAAGGTGGCTGCTTAACAGGAGGCTTCCTGATGCTTGGAATGTGCAGGGTTGGTGTTTATAATATTTAACAACCTGTGTATGGAGATGGGCACTGATCAATCAAAAAGGACATGGACCAAGAACAAGGTGTGTGGTCACACACATTCACATATTGGTTAGATCAGTGGTCGGCAAACTGTGGCCCCTTGAGTGTGGCTCTTTCACAAAATACCACATGCAGGCGCACAAGTACAGTGCGATTGAAACTTCGTGGCCACACTCAAGAGGCCAAAGAGCCGTATGCGGCTTGCGAGCTGCAGTTTGCCGACCACTGGGTAACATATTAGCCCTGGGAACGTGGCTGGAGCTCCAACAGCCATTTTATACCACGAAGCTAGGAGCTGGCGATGGCAGACTCGGCTGCATACCTCCAATATTATCGACTACATACTTGGTAGAATAAACCTATGTTTGTTTATGGCTCTGTTATTTGGGGATTTTCTATTTTCCTCAGCCAAACCTAAATTTAGCTCACATCCAATCCCATGAAGTACTGGGAATCCTGAATGAAATGATCAACAGGAAAGTATTTTTGCAAATTCTCCAGCTCTAGGCAGACATAAGACATCTTTCTTATTGCAGTCTTTGTGATGATGATTATGATTGGTTTAGGAAAAATAGATTGAAATTGACTGACACGATCCTGGCCAGAGATCAGAGGTTTTTTTTGTCCTGCTTCAGCAACATATTCATTTATATATATGAATTTATTTATATATATATGAATTTATATATATATATATCCCAGAGAGGAAGGGAGAGGGAGAGATAGGAACATCAATGATGAGAATCATTGATCGACAACCTCCTGCAACCCCGAACTGGATATCGGATATTGAGCCTGCAACCTGGGCTTGTGCCCTTGACCAGAATTGAACCCGGGACCTTTCAGTCCACAGGTCGATGCTCTATCCATTGAGCAAAACCGGCTAGGGCAGCAACATATTCTTGAGGGCTCTGCACAGCATCCATGGATAACAGTGGCATGAGAGACTGGCAGGAGAGGGGCTGACAACTTTTGGGCTGGATGCCAGCAGGATGACTGGGTGATTTTTGTTGAGTTGCAGCCAGAATGCTCAGCCACTGGTTGGCAGTTAAACATAAAGGGTAGGAGTCAGGACAGATAGCTTTGAATCCAGGCTCCACACTTACTTGCTATGTGACCCTTGGCAAATTCCTGAACTTCTCTGAGTCTCAGATTTTTCACTTGTAAAATGGGAACAATTATAGCCCCTGTGACATAGGGTTGCCATGGAGATTTAGTGATATAAATACCCAGTAGGGAAAAAGATACATCCCGTTTATTTGTATCCTGTCCACTAGCCCTTGACAGATAATATATGAACAGACTGGATTCTGATTCATTCCTTCTTACCTTCATTGATTCATTCATTCAGTAAGCCTAGTGAATATGCCTACTCTGTACCAGGGGATGAAATGAGCTCGTGAGATAGATTTAGACCATGGTAGCCAAATACAGCCAGCTCAAAAGTGGTTTAAAAAAAATAGAGCCGCCCTAGCTGGTTTGGCTCAGTGGATAAAGTGTTGGCCTTCGGACTGAAGGGTCTCAGGTTCGATTCTGGTCAAGGGCACATGCCTGGGTTGTGCCCCAGTAGGGGGCATGCAGGAGGCAGCCGATCAATGATTCTCTCTCATCATTGATGTTTCTCTCTCTCCTTCTCCCTTCCTCTCTGAAATCAATAAAAATATATTTAAAAAAATAGAGCCAAGGTTTGTTTGGGCGCCCCTCCCCTCCTCTCATCTTTTCCTGAGGGTTCCCTTCAGCGTTTCATTCATGGCTGTCCTGGTCTACCTCCTCACAATCAGTAGATGCTTGTTCTCAGGGGGACCTCAGCCACTAATTCATACTATAGTGGAAATGACTATGAATCTCTCAAAGAAGGGGCTTGCAACTGACCCCTCCTGTAAAGTGACTGCCCCCTGAAAGGCTGTTCTTATGCATAGAAAGCAAAAAGGTTCCAAGTAGAAGGGCACAGAGGAATCATTCAGTCTGAACCCAAGCCAGGCAGAAGTGACTGTCTAAGCAGAATGACCCCAACCAAGTACACCCAGCAGTCCTGTGGCCAGGCTGGGTGGGAAGTAGAAAATGGCTCCCTGGACGCCATTAGATGGTCACTGCTCTACACCATCTGTGCATGCTCTGATCAGGTTTTTCAGGTCGCCCCTGGCAGGTACTGAGGCAGGACCAGAAGTGCCTCTGCCGTTCAAGAAGCCTGCAGCCTGACAGGGGACATGAACACATATGAGCTCTTTGGCCACCCTGATTTGAAATGCTGTCTTCACTGTGTACTGCATCCTCCAATGTGCACCTGGCTATTCTAGACTCTGTTTGGTGGTGCTACTGCCGTCTCGTCCTGCACCACCACCATGCTATTTCAAAGACTATCATTTTAAAAATATGTTTTTATCCGGTACAGGGAGGCCTCTTTCTTCTTTTTCCAGAATGTCTTAGTTGTTCTCATATCATCACTGTTCCAGATGAACTTCTAAATTAGCTTTTGAGTAACAGATATTGAATCCTCTTCAGCACTTTTATTTATGCCAGGCACTGGGCACTGGGAGGAGCCAGGCCCGCGGTTCCTGCCCTTGAGAGCTCACACACTCCACCAGAAGTGTAACCGAACAAGGGGTGTAAAACGACGTCAGGAATCTCACCCTGTGGGTAACCAGAGCCAAAGGCCTGAGGAGTCCCCACAGATATGAATTCCATTGTCCCTCCACTCTAGGGAAGTCCGAGGAGGCTCGACAGGGGAGTGGCATACTGGACTTAGACGGATGAGGAGGAGTTTTTCGGGGATAGAAGAGGAGAAATGCTCTGAGTGGGGAAGTCAGAGAACGCTTACCTTAGGAGACACATTTCCTAGGAGAGTTGCTAGGCGTTTGCCGGATTCAGAGGATGAAATGAGGAAGGGATGGCCCTAAGCTGAGAACATCACAGAAGGCTCTCGGAAGATACTTCGGCTGGGTTCGAGCTGGAGGTGTCAGAGAAGATGCTGGAAGAGGCAATGAAATAAAAACGGGTTTTATTAGAAAAGTAATACAAGATGACCTTTTACCTGGACTGCGAGGGAGGAGCCAGACAGGGCAGAGGAGGTAGTCACAGAAAAGTCTTCCCAGGAGCAAATAGGAAATTTGGCTTCCTGCCCGCACTCTACGATCCACCACCAGGAACTAAGAGTCCCACCGCGTCGACGCCGGGAATTCTGAGATGGTGACGCTGCGGTTCTGATTTCCAGGGGTCGGGTAGCCGGTTCCGATTTCCAGGGGTCGGGTAGCCGTGGACAAGGGATCGGCCGGGAGGATAGAGGCTCAGATTTGCGGACCCTCTGGCAGAGCTGAATGCTTTATGTCAGAATTGACCAATGGGATGACGGCACGAGGTTGCCAGGGCTA